TAATATAGCCATGCAATCATCAACATGATTATTGCCATTTCCTTGAATTTGGTTAAGGGCTCTATAGACTGGCTTTATCTAATTTACCAACGATCGTGTGCTGAATGTGTTCTCCGTGGAGGCGAATATGGTTTCCTGAGAGACATAATAGACACAAGAAACAACACAATCAAGGAAAGTTGGGTCTAGAATATTAACCCGTTTTATCATGAATGAAATGAAACAAATACATGATGACATTTACTATTTGCTTTTGAATACAACGACAAAGCTCATCACATTAAAGGGACACGCGTCGTTGACATTGCTCTTATATAGTAGAATAAATATGAGTCGGACTCGAGACGCCTGTGTTGAAAAATGATGAGAAATACTGACATTATTTGGTTGGTTGTATTACACGGCACTCCGCATTGTTCCAGCTATGCGACGGTGGCCTGTATGACTCATGTACCACCCATGGTGGTTATCGAGTGAAAAAAGGAAATTAAAAATAATATAATCGAGTCCAGAGTGATTGACCCATCTATTAAGCCGCTTCTTACGACAAGCATATATTGCTAGGGACCAATTCCTCTCTCTCCGCCTCTCAATCTCCCTGCTCCCTCTTTTTCTCTCCCCTCTCTCCTTCTCCCCTCCCTACCTCTTTCTCCACTCTCTCTCCCTCCCTACCCCCTTCTCTTACTCTTTCTCTCCGACTCTCTCTCCTTCCCTCTTTCCCCTCTCCTCCCTCTCTTTCGCCGCTTCTCTCGTACTCTCTTTCTATCTCCTCTCTCCCCTCCCCTCTCTTACGTTCCCCTCTCTCTTACCTTCCCTCTCCTCTTTTACTCTTTCTTTCACCTCTCTCTTACTCTTTCTCTCCACCTCTCTCTCCCGCCCCCTCTCTCTTACACTCTTTCTTTCACCTCTCTCTTACTCTTTCTCTCCACCTCTCTCTCCCGCCCCCTCTCTCTTACACTCTTTCTTTCCCCCGCTCTCTTACTCTTTCTCACCACCTCTCTCTAGTTCATCTCTCTAGTTCCCCTCTCTCTTACTCTCCTCTCCCTCCCTCCCTCCTTCTCTTTCTCCCTCCTCTCATCCCCTCATTGTCTTACACTCTGTCCCTCTCTTTCGTATCCTCTCTCTTACTCTCTTTCAATCCCCTCTCTCCCACCCTCCCCTCTCCCTTACTCGCTTTCTTTCCTCCTCTCTCTTAATCTCCTCTCCTCTCTCTCTTACTCTCCCCTCTCTCTCCCTCCCTCCTTCTCTTTCTCCCTCCTCTCATCTCTTCTCTGTCTTACACACTCTCTCTCCCTCCCCCTCTCTCCACGAATAAGACATTTGACACATAGGACGTTCCTGTGAGTTTCCGTCGCATTGAATTCATGGGGGACAACGACTCACACTGCCGTCCTTTAGACAGTCGCGAGACATGTATGGCTGTCCGACTGTATATCTCGGTTGATTTGGCTGAATTAAGAGGGACATCCTAGGGGAAATATCACTCCTAAAGCAAACGCCGCTAACCTGATTTCTACAACTTAATGGTTTACAAGGTCAATCTACTGACATTTAACTTGATACTGCCTGTTCTCAGCAAATCACCCTTTAACACAACCCATTCAGCGATTCTTGAACAACAAATGAAATAAATATTTTTTCTATAAATTGGAAGAAACTGATACCATCTAGCATCAGTATTTGTCTCTAAATTATTGCTGCATATTGATTTCCAGGTTAAAAAGTTTGTATTAACAAACAAAAGGTCAATTGTATGAAACTGGAAGATGTCACGTGACTTTGACAGGGAGTCAGGTTACAATTGACATTAGTTTTCCGTTATTACGAGGTTTACTTTTTATGCCAAAGGACCGTAAATGCGACGTAAATCAACACTCACTCACCCATATTTGGCTACATTTTAACGTTTTGATTCCGGGGCGGTGCAGGTCTCTAGAGTCCTTTACTTGTAATGCTACATATTAGCGGGGCAGAGGGGCGGTTTGGGACTGACAATTTAAAAAAATGTTGACAGAATTTTTTTAATACTGTTTTTCTTTGACCCACAAAACATCTGTTTTCAGGGCATCCATACCCCATTCTTTTTTGTTAAACCTGAAGCGAAATCATATTTGAAAAAATCCCTCGGTATGTCAAAATGGTCTTGGTGACAACGATCGTCGCCCTATGCGAGTGAGTGAGTGACCGAGTATGGGTTTACACCGCTTTTAGCAATATTCCAGCAATATCACGGCAGGGGACACCAGAAAAGGGCTTCACACATTGTACCCATGTGGGGAATCGAACCCGGTTTTTCAGCGTGACGAGCGAACGCTTTAACCCCAAGACCCCATCGCCTAATGTGACGATCCCTAAAGATGTCTTGTATGAAGTTGAGTGTAGATGAACGCACTTACGCTAGCCCACCGTTTGTCGAGCTGTCTTTGTCCACAGCAAACACGTGCAATCGGGGAAGCCCAGTGGATATTGCTTTCGCTCGAAATATATAGGGTACGGGTTCGATTCCATACAATTTGTGATATACTCTCATGTTTAATTTTGGTTTAAATCAGCACTGTAGATTCCATTTCCAAAGTACAATATATGAGTTTTACGCCTCTCTATACTTCATTTATGTCACGGCCTGTCATCTCAATATCAGAATAAACCACAATGTAATGCAAGCCGTGGAACATCGAGCTATGGCATGATGCTGACAACTCAAGGATCATAATCAGGGCAAATCTTGGATTCGAACCACGATCAGCAGATCCTGGCATGCCTAAGGGAAGTCATGGTACACGGCAGTACGCGCCACCTTGGGCTTCTGGCCCTCGCACTTCGGCATTATGCAGGAGAGTTTATAGTGAAAGGTGTTCGTCCCGCTGTGATCATGCGGTTTCCTGGCGTCGCTTGAATGTCAGTTGGTCAGACTTATCAATCAAACACTTATCTACATAGATATATATTGTCCCGCGTCGTGTTCGGCTGCTCATTTGATTGTCTGGTACGTGGTGTTAGTGGTATAATGGGATGTCCAGGGACGTTCACGGCTTAAACGATCCCAGTGACAGCCAATGTATCTATTCCATACCAGTGCAATCTTAAATTGGACATAGCTCAGCGATGTGTGTTTTGTTTGGAATAGAACCTGGGTCGTCGAGCGAACGTAATACCACTGACCCACTTTGCCGTCCTTTGAAATGTGTTGGAATATTCCGGAATATCATCTGCTATTATACATCTTCCAAGACTGCTGACGTTATTATGACATCGCTCTGTGGTTCAGTGATGTGATTATACGGGCCATTTACATAATAATATTATTTCTTATACCTACCATATGTGAATAGCGAGAGCCCGTAGTCTCATACACGTGTTGCAGTAAGGTTGCTGTAGGTGTGGATGTGGAAGTGGATGTGGAAGTGGATGTGGATGTGGATGTGGATGTGGATGTGTGTGTGTTGATAGTGATGTGGTTGTGGATGTGGTCGTGGGTGTGGGTGTATGTGACGATGTAGGTGTTGGAGTAGGTGTAGGTGTAGGTGTGGTGTGGATGTGGGTGTGGGTGTGGGTGTGGGTGTTGGAGTAGGTGTTGGTGTGGATGTGGGTGTGGGTGTGGGTGTGGGTGTTGGAGTAGGTGTTGGTGTGGATGTGGGTGTGGGTGTGGGTGTGGGTGTTGGAGTAGGTGTTGGTGTGGATGTGGATGTGGGTGTGGGTGTGGGTGTAGGTGTAGGTGTAGGTGTAGGTGTAGGTGTAGGTGTGGGTGTGGTGTGGATGTGGGTGTGGGTGTGGGTGTGGGTGTGTGTGTGGGTGTGGGTGTTGGAGTAGGTGTAGGTGTGGATGTGGGTGTGGGTGTGGGTGTAGGTGTAGGTGTAAGTGTAGGTGTGAATGCGGGTGGATGTGGATGTGGATGTGGATGTGTGTGTGTGTGTGTGTGTGTGTGTGTGTGTGTGTGTGTGTGTGTGTGTGTGTGTGTGTGTGTGTGTGTGTGTGTGTGTGTGTGTGTGGTGTGGGTGTGAATGCGGGTGTGTGAGGATGTGGAGGTGGGTTAGGGTGTAGGGGTATATGTGGGTGTGGGTGTTGATATGGATGTGGATCTAGGTGTTAATGGTGATATGGGTCTGGATGTTGATGTGGGTGTGGGTGTTGATATGGGTGTGGGTGTTGATGTTGATATCGGTGTGGATGTGGGTGTGGGTGTGGATTGGAATGGGGATGTTGACGGGGTAGGATGTTGATGGGATGAAGACGGAATGGGGTTGCTGACGGCGATGGGGATGGCTTGTTGTATATTATCATATGTGCAAAGAGATTCCCAATTAGACTTTTTACGTCATGAATTCAAAACTTGAAATTTGTGAAATAGCTGCACCTAAAGTCCACGTGTTCATAAACTCACGGCCTCATTATTGTGCAATGTTCGTACTGCAACGGTTGCTGTGTTGCTGTTGAGAGCTTACAACATGGATAAAACCCCGAAGCCATGTGCAGAGTTACTTCCCTTCTTCGAATAGGATGCATTCAGTATGGGCCATGTTATAAAACATACACTTTGGTTCAATTTCGTTTCTTTACCCCAGGCATACATGAACACATACAATCACTCTGAACAATGAAATAAAAATACAACTAAGTTCACATCGAAGTAAGCACAACAGAAATAGAATCACTTTCGTTCATTTTCGTTTCAAGGACATAAATATTCAGAGTGAGTGAGTGAGTTGGGTTTAACGCCGCTTTTAACAGTATTCCAGTTATATCGCGGCGTGTCAGCTTAATGTGGGAGGAAAGCCCGAAGTGATGCAGGTCCCAGACGTTTATCACTTCGGTGAAACCCACGAACACGGGTATGGTGCTGACAAACCTAGAAACATAATTTGGGCGAACCGGGATTCGAACCCACAGTCATAGGTTTCTGGCGTGCTCAAGGGACGCAACTCTGCACAGCGAATCGCGGCGCCTTAGACGACTGGGCCACCCGTGCCCCCCCCCCCCCCCCCCCCCCCCATAAATATTCAGAAGGGCAGATGAATAGATACAAACCCAGAGACATAAAACGCATATGACATACAGACGAGCATAAACATAAAAAATATAGAGTCTGTCAATTCTTGATGTACAGACAGTTTAGATGTGTGTACCTTTAATTTGACAAACGATACACTCATGCTACTCTCTAACGCTAATTATGTAAATCAGGCTTGAAATTTCGTAAACGTTAAACCATTACCATCGATCCCCTCTACGCCATACTGTACATGGTTCTTTCTGCTACACACTATATAAATAACAACGAATGGCTAGTTGCTAATCTCACAAATAACTCTTGACATCATGCAATTTTCGCAAAGCAGCAAGAAGTTCACTAGCTGTAATTGCTAAAGAATCTAATTTAGCATTCAGTTGCCCAATTGGAGAAATAAGATTTTCAGGAAACGACACTGGAAAAAGAAGTCTTTTTAAAATCAATTTGTTCATGTTCTTTAAGTTCGTCTTTGCATTGAAGCCTAAACATTGGGCTTCTCGGCATTTTAGACTATAATCACATTCAGAACGGTCTGTCACGTGATCAGAATAGCCACATGGAGGTTCAAGGTTATTCACATCGTCAAGGTCAATCATTTTGATGCTTGAATTAACCAAGAGAAAATGGCCTTCCTTGAAGTCCGGCACCACTAAAGATCCGATAGGGGAGAATTCAAGATATTGGAGTAGCCGGGCCATGTCTGTAGCGTGTCTTAACCTATCTTGCCAAGGAAGAAGTTGAAGGCTGTCCACGACAAACCTGTGTCCAAATTCATAAATTCCAACGACTCCATGCTCCGATATATCCGTGGAATCACTCTCCTCACTCCGGACACAATAACCGAGTAATTTCACCATGTTGTTGTGTTCAATCTGTTCCGATAACAATATCTCCTTCATCAGTTTCATCGTCGGATGAACGTAACACGTCGCTTTACGATGGGACGTGTCCTGGTGCTGACGTTTCAATTCATCAAGGCAGTTCCTTACGTCATGCAGATGACGTGTCACCATCTTCACCGCCACGTGCAGGCCTTTGTACAGGCCGAGAAACGTTTGTTTCGATACACCGTGTCCAATTTTCTTTTTGATTTTCACCTCGTGTATATTGGAACAGTTGAAAATATACCGTGGACGAATGATGTGGTACTTTCGCCAGTCCATTGTATCTCGGTCACTGGAAGACATAATTCGTTGCATATGATGTCTATGGGATTTGTCCGCCTGGTAATCCAGAGCCTGGACATCGGACGGAACTTCAAAATCTAACGCATTCCCATCCTGGACATTTTTCAAATCTTCAAATGCATCATGGGAGGTCAACTTCCGCTTCCGGTCTCCAAAACCCGAGTAATCGTCCGTGAAGCTGTCGAGAGGGCAGGTCTTTTCAACAGTTCGATACATCATGAACGTACAGAACAATATCGGGAAAAGAAAAATACACGTCAGGATCCGACTCTTGCCTCGCATGGAGGCCAGCTTTGCCGCCCAGGTAATCATGGTTGGAGGAGACTCGATGAATAATAGAAGCCGCTTTGATAATGTGGCAAGGAAAACAGGTTGCAGATGAACACGACTGAAAGCAATTGCCTGACTGGATAACTTTGCGGTTGATGTGATGGAGAAACACTGCAGCGGTGGTAGAAACAGGAGGCTTTAACGTGTGAGCAGAATAGAACCGTATGTTAAGTAAGGTTGATAGTTGTTGTCTTTGGGCAATATGTGTCCTTTAGAATTGAAGTCTTCTGTAGTATAACATCACAATGTAGATTCATGAACACCATTTAACATCACACGAATAAGCAATAGCCGTATGAACAATTACAAGAACATTCAGGAAGCACTGATCTAAGACAGCTTAGATGAGATATATGACACCATCCTCTTGGAAATTGATTCGGCGACAGCAGGAAAGGTTTTGAAATTATATAAATGTATCTCCAATATCTCCACGTTGATGAAGGTGAACTGGTGGTGTACTATGTCTTGTTGTCTGAATTCATCAGTTGGAAGGAAGCGTCTTCAAAACCAAACAAAGCAGCACTCCAATATCATTCAGGGTTGTAGCCCGGTCCTATATTACGTATGTCGGGAATACAGTGTACGCCAGAAGTGAACACCAACTCACACAATCAATATTTCTTAAGAAAGAGAAAAATTAAGATGTACCAGCCTTGACGCTGTTGCAAACAAATTGGATGACAAGTCACTTTGTATTAGAGCACATTCAATTACTTTAACCACCACTGTACAATGCTTTCTCACGTCGTTGTCTTACAGTAAAACACTCGGTCATAGTAGCATCTTCCAGTATCGTGGCAGGGCAGTTTCAGCACTGAAGATCTATAGACAAATGTCAGATGACAAGCCTTTAAACATAATCGTCTTTCATATCTAATGTATAATTTACCTGAATGTGAAGCGTAGATTGCGGCAATCAATAAATTTCGTTTTAAAAGAAAATATATTCTTTGGTTCTGGAAATGGAAAAGACTGCGTATTGTCAACAGATGACACAGTTACATTTACTGTAAATAGTATATTTGCTATTTATTTACTAAATAACAGTATATATTTAAATACACAAGATCAATGAGGGAGTTTATTTACAAACCAGGTTGTGTCATAGCATATATATTCTGGGATAGTATATATTTGCACTCAAAATAATTTTGCAAATTGAATTTAAAATTTAAAGCGCAGTGTTTCGGCTCATGGTTTCATTGTTAAGATAAAAATAAAGAAAAACGACAACCTTCAAACGAGTTGGGAAACAAAAGAAATTAGAGCGTGCATTATTGCTTTACATGGCGTTGGAAGAATGACGTAGGCAATAAAACCAAATAATTGTAATGGGCTTCAAATTGATTTTGGCTGGACATTGGATTTTTTCTGACCATTTCCCTCGATTTTCTAACCTAGTCACGTGGTGTTATGAGCACACTGTCACGTGCTGCCAAAATGACATCTGTCATGTGTGGTCGTTTTCCCAGATCGGCGCTCGTCGATCCCCTGTTCAGTTGAGCCTGCACGGACTGTCGGCATTAGCGTTTGGTCCGGATAAATCAAATCCGAAAATAATTCGCCATTGATCGGTTCACTGTTGTATAAGCCGGGCACTTGTGTCTCCGTCAATCTGTCTCTTCCGGGCAAGGTATCCGATATGCAGAGAAGTTGAGTGTTGTATTCCTGTGAAGATAAAACATCATTTTAGAATAAAATGTATCCCAGAAGATGATTTTGACGAAAATTATTCAACAGAAACAGCTGAGATAAGCAGCAGTAACATTATAGGAGTTTAACGATTCACCGAGCGAACGTTCGGTGCATCGCAGTACTTTTTGGCAACGGTGCCCAACGTCTTGGCATGTGAAGTAGTATGAAGATATATGAGTGAGTGAGTGAGTATGGTTTTACGCCGCTTTAAGCAATATTCCAGCAATATCACGGCGGGGGACACCAGAAAAGGGCTTCACACATTGTACCCATGTCGGGAATCGAACCCGGGTCTTCGGTGTGACGAGCGAACGCTTTAACCACGAGGCTACCCGACCGCCCCCCGAAGAAATATGAAAAACACCACTCATTTGACGGTATGTAAAGAGGTCTCAAGCCATGTGTTCGAGGGTTAAATCAAATCTATTATATATTTTGCTCGGTCCGCTATTCTTTCAATGTGGGGGCGTTGGGGTAGCCTATTGGTTAAAGCGTTCGCTCGTCACGCTGAAGACCCGGGTTCGATTCCCTACATGGTCACAATGCGTGAAGCCCATTTGTTGGTATCCCCTGCCGTGATATTGCTGGAATATTGCAAAAAGCGGCGTAAAACCACAATCACTCACTCACTGTGACGAAGGGATACGTCTGTTATGATGACAGCTGTCTTCATGTACCGTGTGTCGTATATCGTGTTTCGTATCGTGTATCGTATCGTGCATCGTGTGGTATCGTCTTTCGTGATGTGAATCGTGTTTCATATCATGTATCGTATTTTGTATCTTGTTTCGTATAGTTTATCGTGTTGTGTTTCGTGACGTATATCATGTATCGTATTTCATGTCTTGTTTCGAATAGTTTATCGTGGTGTGTATCGTGTTTCGTGACGTATATCGTGTTTCATATCGTGTATCATATTTCGTATAGTTTATCGTGTTTCATATCGTGTTTCGTGACGTATATCGTGTATCGTGCTTTGTATCGTGTTTCGTGACTTATATCGTGTATCGTATCTTGCATCGTGTAGTATCGTCTTTCGTGATGTGAATCGTGTTTCGTGTATCAAATGCATCTTGTCGCAACAGAGCGAACCGTCACAGCCATTTTGTCTTCGCCATTTGAGATTAGAATCACGAAATATCTCGATGATTTATAAACAAAGATAGCTGCATGTGTGCTAAAGAGATAACAAGCCATTCAGCCCATATACGAATATCACGTACCCTAATGACAAAAAATGCCGAGTGTGATTTTCAAGACTTGTCCATTTTCTTGACGATAAAAATCATCATTGAGTTGTGATCGCGTGGTTACAATCTTACTGAGGATGGGAGGTCAGGTGACTGCGAGAGACTATATTTAGCACCGTGTGCTGCAAATATACATCACAAGCACGAACTGAAGGAAAAACTCGCAAGTCACCTGACTGTCGATTCTCACCCGGACTGTAACCACGTGACCAAAAATCAATGATGATGTTTTTGAGAAAATTGACATTCTTGAAAAGCGCACTAATTTTTTTGTCATGATTACTGGGAGTAATATTCGGTATCGGCGGAATGGTTTGTTTTCACTATATTAGTATAAAAACACATGCAGGTTTCTTCGTTAATTAATCATCGTGATATTTCATGATTCTGTCACTATGTCTACCAACATGTCTACTGCTTCTACCAACACGTCTACTACTTCTACAACACGCCTACTACTACTGTCACAGTGTCTATTACTTCTACCAACACGTCTACTACTTCTACCAAAACATCTACTACTTCTACCAACATGTCTTCTACTTCTACAAACACATCTACTACTTCTACCAACACGTCTACCACTACGTCTACTACTTCTACCAACACGTCTTCTACTTCTACCAACACATCTACTTCTTCTGTCCCTATGTCTACTACTTCTACAAACCCGTCTACTACTTCTACCAACACATCTCCTACTTCTACAAACCCGTCTACTACTTCTACCAAATATGTCTACGACAGTACTACTGCCACTATCTCTACCACTCCTGCCACAATATCTGTCACTTCTACCGCCACCCTTCTACTTTTACCGCCGCGTCAACTACTGTCACTACATCTGCTACTTCTGCCTCCACGCCCACCACAACTACATCTCCCATCTGGCCTACCTCTACCGCCATCCACACCCACTCCAACGCTACTTCAACCACTACCACGACCATCACACCACAAAAACCGCTTCATCATCACAATCGCAGACCGGTTACTTCTTGCCTACAATCAAGCACTGGAAGTGCTCCCCTGACAACCAACAGTCACTTATTCAATGGTGTTCTCTTCCCCAAATCAATGATCCGCTGTTAAAAGGTAATGTGTTTATTTCAGCGTGTCACACTTATACTTTTAATTCCCCAGCAGCTGAAGCCAATTATCCTCACCGGATGTGACACATCTTACACCTCAGTCTTTAAATTGTAATTACTCGTAGCTTCAATATTACAACACCGAGCAGCAGAAAATCCAATAGTTTACTCGATCAAAGAATTATTGCAAATAACTTTCTCCTTCAGTTTCACGTTCGATGGAGCAATAAGTACGTGTCGATGGCGCCTCATGGCATGTCCCGTCTCCGCGTTACACACCAGTGTGTTGTATATTAGATTTAGTTGTATTTCAGAACCCGTGGCCACTTGGTAATTTGTCTTTGCCAACGAGGGCTCCTAAATCAAATTTGTTTGAAAAACACGGTAGTAATTTCAGCTGCAGTTTCTCAATCTACGAGAGGCGCTATTCAAATGAACCCACTGCTTATGCATGTAAAACACGGTTGTAATTGCATCGTTTCCTTTGAACTGAAACACAGCTGTCAATGTGATGAGTAATTTCAAAAACCAGCATCTTTTGTTCATGAGATGCTTATCCCTCTTATCTTCTTGTAAAACTTTTATCCAACTGCCTTATATTGTGTCTAATTAGGGTCGAGCATTGGCTATCGATTTATGCAGAATGTTAAGTGAACTCTTCAAGGCCCTGGTGTAGAGTAGCTGTAGCGTTGTTGAGGTTTCAGGGCTATTTTAAATGTCATATAGTGGCCAGAGTGAGTGAGTGAGTGAGTGAGACAGGATTTTACTGTAACATTTATTGTACAGGAGAGTGAATGAGTATGTTTTACGCCGCGTTGAGCAATATTCCAGCAACATCACGGCAGGAGACACCAAAAATGGGCTTCATACATTGTACCCATGTTGGGAGTCGAACCAAGGTCTTCGGTGTGGCAGTGAACGCTTTGGCCACTAGGCTACCCCCTGCCCCATAGAGTGGCCAGGGGAAGATCTTTACCTGATCTTGAAATGTGAAACTTACATGAATGTATACCTTTTGAATTTTGTCACGAAAATTGTGAATATAGAAAGTAAACATTTTTTTTGGTTTGTGTTTGATGACTATTGATCCAAATGGTGTTCTTTCTTTAAGTGAGAGCTTTCGTGGTGTAGTGGGAAGAGCATGTGCCAAGAGAGGCGGGGAATGGCGGGTCGCGTCATACCAAAAGACGATGGACCAGCATTTTAACCGGCTTTAGTCTGGACTAGTACAAACAGCCACAAATACACGTGAATGCACATAGCTGTAGACGTGCACTAATGTTAACCGCGACTTTCAACACAAATAAACTTCACCTCTTTTTTTGTTGTTGTCTAGTTTGTTTGTTGTTCAGTTCCACACTCAGCAATATTCCAGCTATATGACGGCGGTCTGTAAATAATCAAGTCTGAACACGACAATCCAGTGATTAATATCATGAGCATCGATCCACGCAATTGGGATACGATGACATGCATCAACCAAGTCACCGAGCCTGACCACCCGATGCTGTTAGTCGCCTCTTACGACAAGCATAGTCACCTTTTACGTCAAGCATTGATTGCTGAAGACCTATTCTACCCAGGATCACCTCTTTCTTTAAGATTTCGTTTGATGACAATCATATGATTGATTGATTGATTTAGTTTGATTTAACATCAGCTTGAATTACAGCATGGCAAATTTACCTTTGAAATTAATATCTGGAGGGATTGCGCCATATTTTAGCGTTAAGCTTTCCAGAAACCACACACAGGTAATCATTCAGAAAACATTGATAACTTAAAAGAAGACATGACACCACACCGGTATGTTATACCCATTGTTTCCCTGTGATTGTTCAATACGTGCTCGTGCCGAGGTTGGACGATTCGATTTAGATGAGAGGGGTGTAATCCTTGATTCCTGGTTTTACATATAGTGCAACGTGTTCATAGATCACGTGGTGTAAGTAGGTTGGTGTCCCCTATGCGGTTGATATGGATTCTGCGCTCCCGACTCGAACGTTGTAATCCATATCACCCTTGGGAGTGTCGCTAATGTGCACACAATCAGATGTACCCCTGTACTCACTGACAACTTGCCAACAATCTGATAAATCTCTGACTTGGCGGACGAGCAAGGCTTCGTCGTCATATCAAATGGAAATCTGCACTGTAGGTCGGAAGCAAAGGTTGTGCCGATGTTTATGTTGTTGTCGTTACGACCTATGCGTGAAGCCTTTTGTTTGAATTTGAATTAACATTTCGTACCAAAGGCTAATTCCCATGTAACCATGATATGTACAGGTCTAGAATTGCCGTTTATCTGAAGATGCTTATTCAAAGATGAACGTGCAAATTGTTACTCCTCATCTTCTTTGTGCATTACATTTACTGTCAGACACCCAAATTTCTTTTGGGGGGGGGGGGGGGGGGGGGTGTCGGGTAGCCTAGTTGTTAAAGCGTTCGCTCGTCACGCCGAAGACCCGGGTTCGATTCCCGACATGGGTACAATGTGTGAAGCCCATTTCTTGTGTCCCCGCCGTGATATTGCTGGAATATTGCTAAAAGCGGCGTAAAACCATACTCACTCACTCGTATTTCTGGACATTAGTTTAAAACAGAAAAGTTAGATATTGAAGATTAGAAGATG